AATTTACAGAGCGGACGCATTTTGAATAGGTTACGAAAAATTTCATTAAAAACATCCGACCCTGCCCAGGTTCGAACCCTCTTATTTTGTTGATGGTCTCCTTCCCTACATCTACGCTACAGATCCATGATATCTTGAAGCTAAAGTGCTATTTGTAATATAATAGTCTGTGTCAATATCCTTAGCATTGGCTGTACTTAATAGCTGGATCAAAATCAACCTTAATAGCTGGATCAAAATCAACACTTTCAATATGAACACATTTTGTCCCAACAATTGAATCGCTATGCTTGTGTAAAAAAGAACAAAGTAAGCAGGTGGTAGGAAAAAAAGTGTAATAACAAGGAAGCAAGCGAAAAAATGTTGGAAATTTTTCGAACATTTTTCAGCTTTCGTTTTTCGCCAAATCAATTTTTAAACTAGAGGTCATTCACGTTTTTTCTTGAAACGTTTGCAGCCAGGTAAGGAAAATTGCCTTCCTCTAAACAAAGGAATTGCAGAAAACTTGAAAAAATCAGAAGTCAAACCGCAAAAAATCAATTTGAGCGTGAACTAACTTTACTTTTTCCTGTATAAAAAGCATGGTTTATACCCAAAAAGACAACCTTTTCGATCTTTTTACAATTAAAAAAAACTTAGCCACTTCTATTAAAGTATTTTCTATATTCTCTCTTCGAATAAGAACACCAGTGTGGAAAAAACTCTTGGGATCTAATTGCACTTTGTTTCAACTAAAACAATGAAGTACAAGATTCTCTGAAAAAAATCGGATACGTCATTTAAAATTTATATAAAGAGACAAAGCGCAGCGATTCAACAACAAAAAGGCACGGCAGCTGGCCCAAAAAATAGTACGCAATCCTAATTCGAAAAAACTAATTGATTTTTAACGCTTGTCTGTAATGCGAGTACATTTAATGAAAACACTGAGAATCGCAATAACCAGTCTAAGATAAGCAATTATAAAAATCATTAAGTCAATACTGAGCAGACGAAACTTGGGTTGACGACTGTTGAGCCGAAAATAAAATTAAGCTATAAAACATGTTGAGCCAAAAAATCCTTATGCCGCCAAAACTGTCGTTGGGTTGACGACTTTTGAGCAGAAAACTTAATTGTATTATAAAAATTTTGAACCAAAAAGATTTACGCTCCCCCTACTCTTTCGTAAGCACAAGTGAAATTTAAAAGCTTAAGTCCTTCAATCGAAAAACAATGAGGCAACTAAACAGATATGCATCAGCCGAAACTATTTAAACTAAAAAAAAAAATTCAAACATATTAGGCAAAAAGAAAACTAAAAACAAGAGTTGATTTAAAACCAACACTCGTTGATTTAAAACCAACAAAAAACTTGACTGAAACGGCCCTTTAAAATGCAAACAAGCTCAAAAAATATCCGCTGAAAGACATTCTGTTATGTTGCCACCAGAAGAGCTGTGTTTACTAATTCAACTGAGTTTGTTAAACTAGTTGTTAACCCAGAAAAAAAACTTTGCGACGGCAGATTGACCAGAAGGATAGAAAATAGTTTCTTATAACTTAAATCAAAAACCGATGAACATCACACAAATCAAAATTGATGTTTGAACACAAAATGGCGACAAAAAAGTTTGACCTAATGTTTTCGGTGATAAAACTTTAATTTGCAACACAGTAACAAACTCAGTGAGAAGATACGCGCTGAGTATGACAGAAATGGAAAAAATCGCCAGCTAAGCCGACAAAAAACATGCAAAAATTGGCAAAAAAACTCACTCAGTTTAATAACACGAATGAAACCGAATAGCGTTTTAAACATGTTGAGATTGAACACTTTATGGACACAACAAAGTTTTGAACAAAGCCGTTACAAATTGATGCAAGGATCATGCAGCTAGAAACAAATGTGAAAAAATTATTCTGAACAATGTAATAGTCAGGACCTGTTGCAACTCAAATAAATCTCTTCAAAGATGAGCCCTAGAATACCGATGTGCCATTAATTTGAATCAGCTAGCAACCCTTGCATTCATAGATAACAAGGATTTAGGACGAAAACTAAGACGAAAAAAAAAACAATCCATCATCCACAAGAAAAATGCTGGCAAAAATACTGTCGTCTATTTCATTTTTTTTTCGCTATCCGAAAGTTATGATAAGAATAAAAATGAAAGTCCTCAATCCAATTGTATGCAGAGGAAACAAATAGCGAAAATAACCTAAATTAGGAAAATATCAAGTGTGCAAGAAACAAATAGCCAAAATGAACTATTTTTTTTTGAAATAAAAAATATCTGTAAATTAAGAGTGAAAAAAAATTTGAAGGTTAATTGAGATATGATAGCACTTAATGCCTCCGAAATCAGAGTCTCTTAACTGTAGAAGATATCGTTCTACAAAAAATATACAGGCTAGAAAGCATTTGAAGCAAAAAAAAATTAATTGACGAAAAAAAACCTTTTGAAAATTATGCCAATAAAATGCGAAGAAACTCATTTCTTCGATTAACATCACAAGAAAGAATAAGACGAAAACAGCATACCGCTCAAGAATTATTGAGGAAAAGATTTGAATAAATCTTTAAAAAGAAAAAAACTCGGACAAACTTCATACGAATTCGAAAAAATGAAAATGAAAAATTTTTCATGGTTTTTAACTTTTCATAAGAGAAGGTCGGAGTAATATTTTAAAAATTCAAACGCACATTGATAAAGTTGACTCAATGTCAAAAGCGACCTGATATAAATTTGAAAAAAGATTAGGGTAAATTAGCCGAAAGTATTGAAGCCGACCGATCTCGGTATCCAAAACTTGATAAACTATTTACTCTTAATTTTAAAGCTCGTTAGAGGCAAACATAAAAAATGCAGCAGGTCGAATAACTAAAAATATGAAAGATTCGACCAAAAATAAATAAACGGAAAGCTGAAAATTGATATTTAAAAACTTCAAAAAAAAATGTGTTTTTCAGGCTTAATTTTTAAAAACTATTACAGGGCTTAAGTGTGTGATTCAGACATGCAAAAAAATTCACATTAAAGTTCAAAATTTTTTCGGTAGAGTTCGATTTTTATGCTACCAACAAAAATTAGTAGAATGAAAACATTAGGAAAATAAGCCGGCAGAATTGAAGCCGACCGATCTGTGCCAAAAATAAACCAAAAAAATTCGAATCCTACAAAAATCAATTGCAACTCTTAACGTAACACAACTAAATGCCTTGTGGTAACTGCATGCAGTTAATACAATTACCTCGTTATTAAGCAACCATGCATTTTCGTTCCCAGAATACTCAAATGGTAAAGTTAATTACGCGAAAAAAAGTCTAGTACCCGAAAACAAAACCCTTGCTTATCTCAAGGGTCACTAGCAAACAAAACAGCAACAGATGCTATTAACACAGAGGCGAAGTTGCACTTCGCATAGACACAAGGAAAAATATGACCTATAACGCTACTGGAAAAGACTGAATCAGTAAAATTTTCAGTCTACAAAATTTCTAAAGTGACACACGCCAATTATGAAGAATTAGCAGCACCATTCAATTTTAAAGAAAAAAATACCAACTCATATGCCTCAATTTATAGAGCAGTCTATGGAGCAGTAAAAATTTTTGTGAAAATCATCCCACCATACGCCATGTTACGTACAAAGTGATAAGTTTCGCTCCTTGGAACAAATTGATTATGGCAAATAAGCTTCCTTCAACCAATTTAGAATAATTTCTATAACGGATTAAATCTCAGCTTACGCGTTAATAGCGCGAAATATATCGCGCGTTAATTGTCCCAAAATGGCAATTTTTTGAACCCCCATAGTTTTATAAAAAATGATCACAGGTAAAATATCTTTCCAAATTCAAGACCAGGACAACAATAATTTTTGAAGGATATTTTAAAAATCCCGTCAAAAATGGCTATTTAAAAAGTCGAAATTTGTCTGGAGAAAAAAACCACCCGAGCACAAATATTCCGTTACTTTCCTAACGAAAGTCGGAACAAAAACAGTCTGTGATAAAATCCTTATCATTGGCTGTACTAAACAGCTGGTTTTTGACCAAAATGAACACATTTTATCGCAACAATATTTGCGACTTACGTTGGAAAGATAGTTCATACTATAGCACAATCATTGTTTGTGTAAACAAGGGGCCTACCTACAAACTATTCTCTCGATTGGGGGGGGGGTTTAGTTATGTAGAAAAGTCAAAAAGTTTCAAAAAACGGCAAAGAAATCAAATATTTGTTTTTTCCGAGGACCATTAATTTTTGAAGAAATAATTGCCGTAGCCGCTTATGCAGAGGAGCTTCGCATATCCCGTTTTTTCGACTGAACACAAAACCGCAGATTTGAGAGGATAGTTTTCGAAAAGTCAAAAATTTCAAAAACCGGCCAAGATATCAAATATTTGACTTTTCCGAGAACATTACTTTTGTGAAAAGAAATAGGATAGAGCCTTCACCTAAACTGTTCTTTCGATTGAACTCACAATCTCAGACTTGGAACAGCAGTTTTCCGGAAAAATCAAAAATTTTAGAAAACAGGTAAAATCGCCCACAACCCCCACAGAACTCCCACAACCCGATCTATCCGTTGGATCCAAAATCTCTTTGGGCGAAGGGTTTTGAAAAAAAAATCCAAAATTCTGGCCAAATATTCACCCACAGCTTTTTTGGAAGGCTGTAGAAAGTGGGGTAAGGTAAAAAGAGACTAGAAGACTATTCAAGCACACAAGGAAAAGGGCAGAATTTCTATTTGTACCATGTTTTTGAAAAATTTGTACCAAGTCCGTTTTACACTTTTCAAAAATTCCTGCGAGTATTAAGACCGCAACGATACACCTATATCGGTCAAAGAAGGAACGTTTACTGGTGGCAAATCCTAACTTTTTGCTAACTTTTTCCTAGCCAAGGTGATCTAGTTAAATTACTTATTTACAGCAAAAAAAAAGAAGTTGAATACTCGACTTGATGAAACTAAATTGGTAATCATAATTCTGAAACTGTCAAAACACTAACCGTTGTGGTCTGTGAGCTGTGCGATTGGCTTCTCGGGTAGCATTTCGCCCTTGAGACCATAAATGGACACTGCATTGTCATGACCTCCGCTGGCCACGAAGTTACCCGAAGGAGCAAAGCCACTAAAAAGCAGAGTAGTTAAAAATGAACGATAGAATATTGATCAGATTTAACGAAACAATATATTCAGCGACGCCATTATCGGTAAAATAGTTTAAAAAAAATTCGAGAACTAACTGTAAAAATAAACTTTGGCTGGCAAAGTTCCTGTCATTTTTTGCTATACTATTCGTGACTATTTTGCAGCTTCTGTTGCATTTATACTGTCGCTTCTATATTTAGCATTTTCTATTTCAAAAGCCATTATTTAATCTTCTGGTCAAGTTTTTTTTCAACTCAATGCCAAATTGATGGCAACGATGTTTTAACAATTTTTGACATCGGAAACTTACTTTTCACCTTTTTCAGAGCGTGTAAAAACAGTTTCAAAAAACTAAAACCTAAAATACAATACAAATTTCTACGAATTAAGATCAAGGCCAATTAAATTGCTTTTGATAGCCATTAACAACAAAAAAGATATCTTAGAGCTGTGTCCAAAGCGTGGACATTTAATAAGTAGCAAAAAATATAGACAGACAAAAGTATTTATAAACATCAAATGACCTATTTCAGACAATTTTACATGCAAGTTATTGTTTCAGACAAAGTATGTTTCAAAGTCATCCAAAACTTCAAATTTGCATGCTAAAAAACGCTCGAAACTGGCAGACTGCGCTTTCTATTTCTTTCTGTCTGTTGCAATTTCTTGCAGCTGATTTTACCTGCTCATCACCCAAGGGCACTTGAGGGTGATGATGTTGATCTTGTTGTTGGTGTGGGTGTCCCAGATGAGCAGTTTGCCATCCTGGCTGCCACTCACCATCTCGTGGGACTCGGGACGCCAACACATGGTGTAGATGGCTGCAGCATGTCCATTCAGAGTCCTCCTCGCTAAACACAACAACATCATTATAAATTACTCACTCTGTGGAACTGTACTTGCTACTCGATTAGAAGTATGGTCCCGTTAAAAACCTCCTTTGAAGTATTGTCCCGTTTAAAACCTCGTTTAGAAGTATGGTACCGTAAAACTAGCAATGTCCCGTATAAAAGCCAGAAAAAAAGTTTTTAAAGGTAGCTTCTAAGTTTTGCTAGTGAGTTGATGTTTTTGATATTCATTTTAAAGAAAACTTTAGTTGCAAATCCAACGAAGAGATGTTAACAAATTTTCCATTTGTTTTGATCCACTTGAAGCAATTCAAATATATTTCAAGTGGCCTCGCGGGACCACAATTCTAACAGAACTTTTAAATGGGACTCACCAAAAACGGCGAGACCATGCTTCTAAACCAGTACACTGTACTTTTTACCCAAAAAAAGACAAAAATTATACTTTCTTCTGATTTCTAAACCAATTAAAGCCAAAACTATCTCCCGCTAAATCAAAAAAATATTGTTTATAAAAAAACTACCCAGCGACCTATTTTTTCTAAAATGTCCTAGATATTATACTTGTTTTGCAGCAAAAAACCAAGATCGCAATGCTCCCCTTACATATGAACTTAATCATATAAACTTAAAGGCGCTTTCCGTAAACAAACATACACACAGACAGTTGGAAGTGTTGACAAGCTCAAAGAAACAAAAAAAGCTATTGATTTTTTTACATTTCTTTTTTCGAGTTTCGAAGAAAACGATACATCACCTTAACCACCTTGAACTTCACAATAAAAAAACTGATCCATACTTTTTTTACAAAGACGCGAAGTTTCGTTTCGTAAAGACTAGCGAGAACACGACAAAAAAAGCTCTATAAAGTTCAATAAGAAAGAGGGCTGTTTTCCACTCCACGCAATCAGCCATAATTTATCTTCATACCTTACTTCCTAACATTATACATTACGCATTCAGCTATAATAGCACTTAAGACAGTTGAAAAAAAAAAAGAAATTTTGAAATATGGTGATGTGGAAAAGAGCCAGAAAAGTTTAAATAAGCCTCGAATTAGTAAAAATGTGGCTACTTCTCGACTACGCTACGGATTCGATCTGCGACCAAGAGATTATGAGTCTCACGCACTAACCACTCGGCCACGCACGCTTAATACGTCACAAACACTAGTCACAAACAAAACAGAGAACAGATGCTATGGAAATTCCGATACTAGATCGTGATTATAGCAAAAGTGCCATCAAATAAGTGAAAACTTTCCATTTTTAATGAACACTTTTATTTGCGAGTAAGTCAAGAAAAAAAGAAGGGCTACACTAATACACTAGCTGCTCGAGGGTGTAATTATTAATCCGATTTGAGAAAATACATCTATTGCTATAATTTTTTTATTCCGGAGGAATATCTAACTGCTGAAGTGCACTTTTGAAACACTTAGTCAAGTTTTATTAATATCATCTTTGCCTGATAGCCTGTATTCACATCACCCGCATCAATAAAAACTTAGCGCTGGCTCATTTGCATTATCCAATGAAGCTAGACAAAAAAATAAATCGCGAAAGAGATAGGAAAAGTCTTTTAAAACAAACGTTTGCTTGTGCAAGCAAGTAAAAAGACTGGAACCCGATGAAGTTGGTTGAGCTTTTTGAACAATTTTCAAATTCGAGATTCGATACAGTTATTTTTCAAAATAATATTGCTTAAAAAGAACTCCTCCTAAATAATTTCTAAAAGATGGTAATTTATTTGAACTTTCAGAAATTGAGCATATCAGCCTCCTGCACGTGAAAATACTTTAGATTTGTAGAAAAAAATTGTTAACGGAAAAAAGTCTAGTTGCCGAATAAAAGTAAAAATGCTCTCGCAAGCGAAAAAACTATCAAAAACCCAGACCGGAATTGAACTACGTACATTATGACCAGGCAAAGTTGACAAGATCTTTCAAAAACCTTCTGAATGGGTTTCTTCAAATAAGTTCACAGGATTTAAAAAATTTTTGAACTGTTCATCAGTGTTTGTTGATGTGATTACATTATGTTCTCTTCTAGGTACGGCATGTAGAATGACTTACTTTTGAGCCTGACGCGAGTGAGGTTGTCGAGGGAGGTGGCAGTGTCATTCAGCATCCCATCACACACCGCCTCACGCTCACTCTGTAATTTGTCCTAGACACACAAAAAACAAGTTACAACTAAGTTCAATTATGTTGCCGACTTGAGAGCATGGAGCTCAATTGGACCTCATTGTAAAGGGAAACCCTACATTTAGGCGGACGATAACTAGGAATCACTATATTCTGAACGCCTTTTGTCGACATAGACACGATGCCAGAAAGACGATGCTAGAAATTTTTTTATTATCTAAATTAAAAATGAATATTTTAATTTACTTTTTTTTACTTTCTAGCAAAAAGTTAAACTTTTTTTTGTAATTTGCGCGTAGTTCGCTCGCTATTTGTCCGTTATCCACAATCATGAGGGTACTTAAAAACGGGTTTCAGTTTTTAAAAAAAATAGGCAGACAAACGATAGTCCTACTTTAAAAAATCCCAGACGAAAATGAAGACCTATCGAAAAAATTATCGAAAAAGGTCACGATTCGACGCAGATGTAAGCAGACACCAGTTGAACCAGAAACAATTGATTTTTTAAAATGATTTTTCATTCATTGTAGTTTCAAGTCGCCTGAAACTACAATGAACAACACTTGCAACAATTAAGCCGACAAAACTTGAACGTCCGACTATTCAAATTTTACCGGAAAAAAACCCAATTTCAAACCATGATGTCTAGAACCCAAGATTTTAGGGTGCGAAGGTTACCACGTTACCTCTAGGCAGGGGCGGATTTTTTTTTGGGGGGGGGGGGTGACGTCTTTCTCTCAGGGATTCGACGTCCCCCTTTGGTATTATTTCATGAAATCCATTTTGGTCGCCAATATATACTAATTTTGAAGAGGAGCGCAAGCCAAAAAAATGCGACTTTTTAATTGAAATTTTCCAAAAAGAGGCTTTTTTTACTTTTTTTTCAAATTTGATTGCGGCGCAAATTTTCTGTTGTCAATAATGGTTCTTTATAGTGTTCTGGGAATAAGTGGAAGTCAATTTGTTCAACCTAAAATAAAGGTCGAAAAAATTTTCGAAAATTTTTTTGAAATCCGCCAAATCCCCCCTTTAGAAAATCCTAGATCCGCACCTGCTTCTAGTCAAGTGAGAGCGAACCTAGAATTTGTCATGGTTCAATAATAAAGCAAGTAAGATTTGTAAGAAAAGTTGTTTACGGAAAAAAGCCAAGTTCCCGATTCCGAATTAATAAACGGAAACCCTGTCAAACTCACTTTCAACTTTGACAACTCTGATTCTAATTCTTGAACTTGTTCATTTTCAGGGTCAACAGCTGCATTGTTATTCTCGTTTTCATGTGTGGCTTCAGGCCCTGCGGGTGTTGCCGGGGTCACAATTGGAGTTCCAGGAGGATGATGATTCTCCATTGGAGCAGCGTCGGCCATTGTCTCTATCGGCTAAACGAGCGGTGGAAACTGCGCAGACTAACGCACAGTAACTCTGCAATATCTAATGAGACTCAATTGATATACTGCTCAGTGGACAAAAGGCCGAATTAGACGAGTTTGAAATGAGTGTTCAAATCATCAAATCTTTGACAGCTTCAAATCTTCGGCCAAAATCCAGGTCACAATTCTTCCTGCAGTAGATTGAAATAAAAGCTGTCAAAATTAAATCTGAAACCAAATAGGAAAAATTACATCATAACTTCAAATATATTTTTTTCCAGCTTTTAGAGAAAGACTTTCCAAAATGACGAAAATAAAATTTAATTGTACAAAATGCAATTAATATTTTGAATATATTTTGCAAAAAATGAAATAAAACTTAGCGAATAAACATGGATTTTTCTGCTGAAAATTCGGATCTTAACGACTAAAGCAATCGTTCAACCTTTTTTATAATAAGCAGTTATATAAAATAAAAGAGTACGTTGAACATCCTTTCATCAACAGAATCAATTGCAGTTGTTTTCAACTTGGCAATAATATTTCCCGATCAAAATTGAAAAACACCAAGAGGTAGATGCATACGTATATATAAATCGAAGACGAGTACAAACTTAAAATCAGATTTACACAATAAAGAAAAATTAAAATTTTGAATTTGATGCATTAGGCGATAAAAATTTTGAACAAAAATGCTAATTTATGCTTTTTGTGTTCATACTGACCAACGTCATTTCGAGGTCCAAATATTCCTTCAGATTTTTTTGACCCCAATTTTCCTAAACTGTTTCGCAAATTTAGTTTTCTTGGATAGTCATGTATGTTAAGTTTTTTGGATCGCTTGGTATGTCGCGCATAAATTAACATATGTAACGTAACTCTAAATTCTATAACGCCGAACATTTGTAATTATTTTGATTCTCAACCAATAAATCATCATTTTCTAAAAAGAAAAACGCAGAACACATGCGCATAAATGAAATTGAAGAAAGTCAAGGACAACAAACACTTTATCGCCCCCTCCCGATTATTTTACATGATTCAAAGTATCCAAGATTAATCACTGCATTTTCGTTTAACTATCAAAAAAGAATCGAAAAAAAGGAATAGGTGAAGGTGAAGATCCACGGTTTGTTTCTCCTGTTCGATTTTTCACCTTCATAAGATCCGACGAGTTTCACGCTATATTTCTTCAGAATTTCCTTTTTTAAAAAAAAAAAACGTTATTTTTCTATCGTCCCTTATTCCTGGGCATGGAGTTTCTTCCGAGCGATCCCTGCTGCTGCTGTTGAAGTGTCTGCTGATGTGCCGCCCTCTGTCTCTGTTTCTCAAATCTAGCCTCCATGTCTTCCAGCACTCGAGGAGTGTATCGCACTATCAACTTTACAACTCCTGAAACACGAAAAAATTTGAAAATGCAGCACAAAAATTTGATAGCAAAACACCTGGTTACCACAGACTGAATTTTTTTTTCATTACTGACATTTCGTTGACGTTCAAACTAAAGTTTTAAATGTTAAATGAAATTATGAACAAGACACTTGCTGTAGAAAACGAACGGTGTAGGCGGATTTCCTCTGTGAACAGCTTGGTTCGAATTGTTGAAATTGGCACGTTACACTAGCCCACCCAATTGTTAATAACTATTGCTTCTTTTGGTTTATGATTTTATGCGGCTTTCTTACTTACCAAAACGACATATCACAGAAAACATAGCCAACTGAAAGTTGGAAAAGAGTAATGAACGCAGGGAAACTGAAATAAAGAACTGACTTGTTTTTTCAAAAATCTTCAACTTTTGAATTTCGAAGAAAAAAATAGATGGCCTTGAAGCTCTTTAAATTTGTAGAACAGTTTATGATGGACACCTTTATGTTAAAATAAACCCAATTTGCGAAAACTGGATCAATAGGTAAAACATTTATTTCGCTGGGAAATCTGATAATTAATTTCCATTTTCTAACTTAGAGGTCGATCACGTTTTTCGTGACCTTTACCCCATTGCTGGTCGATAGTGGAGTTTGCCTTCCTCCTAACAATGAAAATGCACTTAACTTAAAAAGAAATCACAAGTCAGACCGCGAAAAATCAAAACAGCGTGAACAAATTTGAAGACATTTTCCTGAATAAAAAAAAATCAGCAAGACCTATATAAGACTACCCACTACGTTTATTACTCTTAACATTGCAATTAGCATAAAAAAGAAACAAAGCCAGTCAAAAACAGAGAAAAGGTTTCGAACAATTTATGATTGACCCTTTTTAGATTAAAAAAAATGACCCAATTTGAGATTAAGTATAATTTTTGTTTAGCTTTTTTTCGTGACTTTTACATTTGCTGTTCGCTAGTGGAGTTTGCTTTCCTTTTAACAAAGGAAATGAACTGAACTTAGCAAGAAATCAAGATTTTTCCTTAAAAAAATAATCCCGACCTAAAAAATGATTTTCATAAGATTTCACTCAATATCCCACCCCCACCCCCAAGAAAATAACAAACATAAGAAACTTTTTTTTAGCTCCTCAAATGACAAAAAATGATGCGACTGAAACGAAAAAAGGCTAATAACCTTTAAAGTGAAAAACAGCCAAGTCAACCAAAAAAAAAGATTGACTTTTTCTATCATTTTTCGAAACGATCAAAAAATACATTACGCTAAGGCTCTTCTATAAGTGTCTTGATTACGTTCATCGACGCTTAAAATTTTTTAACAGTTCTTCACGATATTTTGGGAAACTTTTAAAGATCTTGCAAACCAGTTGACCGGCTTTAATATTATTCATCAATTGACAATCATTTGAAAAGCAAGTTGCGTGAAAAGAAAACATCCTTGTTCAAGGTTCCTTACCCACTTCGTGCTCGATACAAAATTACACCGTTCAACAATTTTAATTTTACACTACACACACCTGAAGCGTCTTTCAGCAATTGGACAGCCGCTGTGTGACTTTCTCCTTCCACTGAAACTCCATTAACACTTAGCAACTGATCGCCTCTTCTCAATCCACCAACTCTGGCAGCCACTCCATTCGGGATTATCCTGCAAATTTTGAAGAAAATTACAAACATTTCGAGCACCCGCGGCTATTACCTCAAATCATCAAAGGTTGCGGGTTCGAATCCCTCTTCGGTCACGAGAGGGGTCCCAGCGTCATTCGCGTCCTCAAGGTGGAACCGGCTGCGGAAAATTGATGGCATCTTCCCCCAAGGGAAACAGACCTATGGCTGCATGGGAGGAGCTGGACCGGGGGCTGATTAGGAAAAAAAACAACCATATTGCAAACTTTTGGGGTCTTTTCAATTATTACCTCAAATTTATTTAATGGCGGATTACGTATAAATTGAATCGTGAAAAGAAAGGTTTGCAGACATATTCAAATTCAGCCAAGCAGATTCAAGCATTTTCATTCCGTTTTGCATACTTTAATGTTAGCGGCGAATTTAAGTGAAGTAAGTAAGTGAAACGTCCGATCTTCCTCTTTTTCCATCGGGCGAAAAACGGGTTTCTACATAGCAGGTGCATTTGAGATAATCAGGGGGTCCTGCAACTTCAACTTCTTATTCAAATCCTAAGGTTTTTGCTAGGGACCAATATTTGCTAGGGACCAATATTTTGCTAGGGACCAATATTAGGGATCCATATTTTCTCCCCCTAAATCTATTTGGGGGGGGGGGGGAATTGTACGGTTGCTCCTTTGCTAGAAATCACATTTAACTGTGATATGTTACAATAGGTTGTACTTTTGAGTAAAGAGCATGCATCAAATTTGACAACTATAATGCATAATATAGCCACTTCATTTTCATTCAATTGTATATGCAGTTTTTGTAAATACGTTACTCTGCGAATGAAATGTTATTCAAAAATTCAACATGTACATTTCTTTTACCAAAAAATTTGGCTCTTGAAATAAATTATAAATACTGTTAGAAGTATAGCAAAAAACTATCCAGCTACATAACTTGCCTTTGCCATTTAATGTAATATATAACCCAGTTGCGGATTTAGAGGTGGGGCGTACGCCCCCCCCCCCCCTTATGGGTTCAACCCCCTAACCAACCAAAGGGTTCTTCCCCCTTCCCTCTTTGGATCTATTATATGACATCCATTTTAAAAAGTGCCCAAACACGGCAATTTTTAACTGTTTGTTTTTTCTTCAAAATTTTGCCTGCGGCTCAAAAAAATTTAGTCAAAATAGGGTCTTTACAGTGTTCCATGAACGTTTGGAAAATAAATTTTGACGACCTAAAAAAGTCGACATAATTTTCGAAAAAACTTAGAAAATCCAACCCCCCACCCCCCGCGAAAAAAATAGATCCTGAGTTGTACATTCATATATAAATGTCTTGTACTTCTCTCTCCACTATCCAAATTCAAAACTAAGGCTTTCCTGCTGATGTATATAGGAGAGTTCTGCTCCTTGCCGCCCATGATGTTGAATCCAAATCCCTCTTCTGTCACTGGCAGCTGCACCACTCTCGGGTGGGCATGGCCCTCACTGGCTGCAAAGGCGGCCACTGTCGCTTTAGCTGTGGCATTTGCCCGGATTTCCTCGTTGCCCTGAAGATACAAAGCACTGTACACAAAAAAACTTCGTTTTTTCAGCTTTGTTAAATTTTGGAGTTTTTTTGGCATTTCAGCTTCACGTGAGGTGCAGCAGGTAGTAATATGATAATTATGTAACAATGTACATAATTTTAACATGTTACATAAACCGGAAATCCGCAGACACCAACTTAAAATATATGCTGTGAGTGCCGGCTGGTTAATTTAATCGGTTTATTATCAGTTAGTTAGTTCGTAACTTTTTCTACCCTCATGCTAAGAGAAAACACTCCGGGTGTTGTCAGAACATACTGATCATAAATATTTGGAACCGGTGTATGATAAAAAAAGGCTCCTTTTTCCCATCTGCGAATTTTTTCATGTAAAATTTCTGTTCACATCCGGTGCAGCAAAATGAAACGTACTACTCTTAAAACCGATCCATACACTGGTTGAAGAAAAAAAATCATTTCAAAACAATATCAGAATCAAACTACTACAAGAAATGACTCGCATACTAATCGGCCGACTTTCAAACATATCTTTCGAAAAAAAACAAGGACCGGCTGGGACTTCGAACCCAGACCTATGGACCTTCAAGCGCAGAGCATGTCAACTTAGTCTAATGAGCAAACAATCATTTACCTGCACTTCAACTGTCTGGTAAACGTGCTCATAAACTTCTCTGACTGCATTGAAAAAGGGACTCTCTAGAACAGAAATTAGCGCATCTGCCTTAGCCGGATTGAGTTCGTTATTGTGCTTCAGTTTGTGTAGAAGATCAACTGCTAAATTCACCTCACTCTGCAAATCGATCGAAGTTTGAGACATTGAGGCTAATCTGAAAAACGAAATACTAGTACATTATTTCATTCATGGCAGATGAATTCAAACAGTTTTTCGCCATTTTCATTTTATAGCATTGATTTAGTAAAAATAAGTGTTTAAAAGTGTACAGTGCTGATTTAAATTATTCGGACAAAACGAACATAACTTGAATTTTCAAACGCGTTTTTCTCAAATTTGGTTAACATTAGACAAAAAATGAAGATAACAAAAGTTGCTTAGAATTTCACCAGAATTAATATGGTGCCATTTTTTCTCCGAAATTCTTAACAAAAATTTTACCCCAAAAATGGGTCAATTTGGCTTTTTTCAATTAATCAAGAATTACGCTGAAACTACTTTCTTAATTGATAAGAAAATTATATCACAGGAAGCCTCTTACGCAGCTCAACAAAGTTTAAGAAGGGTTAAATCTCCAAAAACCAGTATAAGAGAAAAAATTTTCACTTGATAGTCAATAAATGTGATTTTTACTATATAAAACCCAGAATCTCTGTTAAAAAATAAATTTTAAACAATTTGCGCAAATTTTTGGAGACTTAACCCTTCTTAAACTTTGTTGAGCTGCGTAAGAGGCTTCCTGTGATATAATTTTCTTATCAATTAACAAAGAAGTTTCCGCGTATTTCTTGATTAATTGAAAAAAGCCAAAATGACCCATTTTTAGGGTAAAATTTTTGTTGAGAATTTCGGCGAAAAAATTGCACCATATTAATTCTGGTGAAATTCTAAGCCACTTTTGTTCTTTTCACTTTTTGTCTAATCTCAACCCAATTTGAGAAAAACGCGTTTGAAAATTCAAGTTATGTTCGTTTTGTCCGGATAATTTAAATCAGCACTGTACTATAATCAACTTTGTTCTTAGCCCTTAAAAAAATCGAAAATTTTAGTCTAATTGCAAAAGCACCGGCCAATCATAATTAACGAAACATTCTAATAAAATTGCATTATCATCAACCCACGGTAGTGTTCGTTAGTCAGTTAGATTTTCATTTAATTTTATGAGTAAATTTCCAAGTAGAGCCAACAGAATATGGGATAGGAGTCAATGAACGTACGCAACAGAAAAAAACTGATTTATTTTTTGAAAAAACCTCAATTTTGAGTTTCAAAAAAAATAGATGGTCTTGACGCTGTTTGAATTTCTAGAACAATTTATGACCGACACTTTTTAGATGAAAATATCCCAATTTGAGAAAACTGGACCAATAAGTAAAATTTTTATTTCGCTGGGAAATCTGAAAATTTAATTCTTAACTAGAAGTCGATCACGTTTTTTGTGACCTGTTCACATTCGCTGTTCGAAAGTGGAGTTTGCCTTCCTTTTAATAAAGAAGAAGAATTGAACTTGGAAAGAAATCAAAAGTCAAACCGCGAAAAAGTAAATTTGAGCCTCAACAAATTTGAAAACTTTATCTGAAAAAAAAACGAAAGAAAAAAATCATCGCGACCTATATAAAGGTCTGAACTACGTTCAAAGACTCTTATAAAATGACAAACAAACATTAAGTCTAAATTTCAGACATTAATTCTAGCAAAAAAATTTATTTCAATAAAATCATTGTCAAGATGCAACTAACCGATAGTCGCATGGCTTTTCTGAATCGACCAAATCTCAAACTAATGATAGAAACTAGCCATAATTGGGCTACTTAATAAACTAAGTTAACACTTAAATTGTTATCAAACACCTCCTTTCAAACCCACACGATGTCAGAAAACCAAACACCGATCAACCGAATATGTCTTAAAACATAGCTGTTATTTTTTTAGAACAACAAATAACTAAAATTTATAGGTTAGCTAACTAGTAAACAAATACGGTAGACATCTTGGCCTATTTTAATCGCGGTATAGCTCAATATCAGCTATTTGAAAGACAATTTAAAAATTGATATCAGTAATTGAGAAAAAAAGGCAGGAATTAAGGAGAAATTTGGAACCAATTTTTAGACAATTTCGGATTACCCACTTTTCGGTTTGGTAGCTATTACACCTGACGTTTAATGACAGGACCGCCAAGTTGGCATTTAATCACAAAAACGGAGGTTGTTAAAAGTGATTGTTGTCTCGATTTAAGTCAATATTTGTAGACTTGCCTTTCAATCAATTAGACGTCACTACATATCCCTTTATAATCCAACCAACTAACCAACAACCTCCCCGCCCACACCGATATTCAATCTAAATTAACTTCGAAAAAGAAAGTGAAATAAACTAATATAAGGCTTTTTAAATCACAAACTAAATAAACTCATTAAACTAAAGCAGCTCAATCACACAATTCCCCTGTTATTTCATCATTCAAAATTCACAGATCTATTTAAAGCAATGGGTTGACGAGGCGGGTGGGGGGTATAGCAACTCTGGTTGCTAAACGTTTTCAAAAAGTCCCCTCATTGGTACATCCATGTTTGGTGGTTAAACTTTTCTGATGGCACTTATCTGTACTTAATTTGAGAGTGGAGCTCGCGACAAAACAAACCCGCAATTTTCTGTTCAAAACCTTGCAAAGAATGTTCAACAACGTCATTTTTCGCCTGTTTTTTTTTCAGAAATTTTCATTAGGCGCTTAAATTTTTGGCAGAATATGGTCTTAGGGAGCTCGAAATAGGGAGGAGAGAGTTCAAGTAATAACTTTCAGCTAATCAGATTCGAGCATAGTACTTGCAGGTCTTACTGCTTGAATTTCTCATTTAATATTAGGGAGAAGATTGTTCACTTGGTATACCTAGGGGGAGATTGTTCACATGAACCCGAAAACCAATTTGGTTGACCTTTAAACAAGTTCGACACAATTTCGAACACATTTTTGATATATCCGTTTGATAAACCACCTCTCTTTTAAAGCTTTAATGATCCCAAATTTATTTTTAAACGTCCAGAAAAGATGCTACTTCAAATCTATATTTGAAACTACTACATCAAAATTAGATAATTGCGAGGAAAAACAAAAAGAATAAAATTATAAGGTGTCAGAATAAATCAACCAACGATTGATTTAAAATGCAATAATCTCCTTCGTGATAAAATATCATCGATGTCCATTGGTTAGTTAACGAAGTACGCACAACATTTAAAGTGGCAATTCCTCCTTCGAGTTTCCAGGTTAGGAGTTCAGGAATGTTCCGTTGAAAATAATTCGATAACAAACGCGAGATCACCAACTCAGTATCTGTACTTGGTTGAATAATCTTTCGGAGAAATGACCAAGCCTCTTCCTTTCCTCGCTCCTCTGTACACTGTCTCAATAATATCAATGAACTCTTGCTTGTTTTCTATGGCCCAGTTTATTTTGTTGTTGTTTCCTGTTCCCAGATCAATCATGATGTGTTTGTTGCGATAGAAAAACATGACAGTACAGGGATCGTATAATTCGTACATTTTGTTGAAGTCTGGCACCTGAAAAACATTTGTAAAATAATTCTGAAAAATTGCACTAATTTTGTTAGAGGCGACGATGTTCTTCACACAGAAGCGAAGCTGAGCTTCGCACTACTAGCGATACAAAGTTTAAGATATAAATAGCATGAAGCTCGAGAAAAAAGAGGAATTCGAACTAGAAAAAGGAGAAAATAATGCTTTTTTCAAAAAAGGTTAATATGTTTAATCTTATTTAAGTGTTTTAAAAGGGTTCCTTGACTTTGAGCATTGGAAATTTGTGTCCTACTCCGAATTAAAGCCAACACCCAATAAGCTGAAATCCAACCGAAAAAAAAATCGGCGAAAAACCTTTTCGGAGAAAATTGCAAGTATCGTCTACATAAGACCCACGAGTGTCAGCTGATGGTGTGCATCCTTGACCGGAATGTATAAGACAGCTGGACTGAGATTTCTGGAACATTTTCATTCTGTTATGGTTGAGACAGAAAAGAGGTGTTTTTAACGTGAACTTTCTGATAACATTGTGTGAATGACCGCTTGAGGTTTTCCATGACTATGATTATTCTTTTAGGTCATATCTTAATTTTTTGGATTTCAGTTCTGTTTTACTTCTGATAACGTGAAAGCTGCAAGAGGCCCCACATAAGTTATTGAAGGCCTCATAAGGTTGCGAGTAGAAGAGTAATTAATTAGACTTATTTTTTTTCTCGATCAGAGGACGAACAGAGAATATCGATGGCAGCTGACGGCCTCGCCTCGAATTGGCGCATGTGAGTAGTACAGAGAGCCACTTAAGGCCTCTGAACTATTACTTCTCCAAACCAGGATACGCTGCGGGAAAACCTCATTCGAGAACAGAACTAAAGTGTTGGTCGATCGTCAGAAAACATTGCAGCAAACAGTCGCTCTCTTTCAATGACCTTCTAGAAATATTCTGTCTGCAAATAAAGGCCAAAAATTTGAAACTTTTTCCTGCCCTTTATCGTGTGATTGTTACTTAAGTTACAAACAAGACTTATTTGCTGCTTTAATGTGAATATGAGCGTGGATATCATGGATATAATGGAATGTTTGATACCTTCAAGGATCAATCAGGGATGGTAAGCCTAATCAAAAGCTTGCTGAGAGAATTCGATTCTTAAAAATCGAAATTACTTGAAAAAGAAAAAAGAATTGCATATCTTGAAAATTATGTTTCACAAACGGATAACACTCAGAGTCAGGATTTCGTCTATATTTGTAATGAAATGAAAGATTTAAAAAAACGTCTAGTAAAAACAGAAACGTACAATAGCAAGGATATAATCTGTGAATAATCCTCCGGAAATGAAAGGTGAAAACCTTAGTGAGAGTATTTGCGCCTTTTTTCAAGGTGAACTCCAGTCGGATGTTACCCCTACCGGTATTAAAGCCTGTCATTATCTGAGTAAAGCGAACAATTCTACAATAATCGTTGAATTTGATTTTTTTTCATCAGAAAAATTTCTTGTGGAGGTCCGAGAGACAATTATTCAACCTTAAAATTAACAACGAAAAACCAGTGTACTTCACTGAACGTCTCCCTCCCCGCAACCGTAATATACTCAATTTAGCTAGAGATCAGGGTATCACAGCTGTGACTAACGATTGCGAAGTGCAGCTTATTGTACTAAATGAAAATGGTGGGTTACATTTCGGCCTGTTTATTCATCAAAACATATTGAGCAGCTAAAAGGGTTGTTGTTTAAATGCAAAATCGGCAATCCAGCGTGCCCGGTGTCAATTCGGCAATTAATGGAGCACGTGTATCCAGTACTAATGGTGAACTTACTCAGCGCTATAACACTGATAGAAAACGGTCATGTTAAGTCGTCTACAGGCTACACGCCTGAAGGAAAATCTGTTAACTGTAAAGAATAAATAACATGGTCAATGAGAAGATTTTTCTTAGTAAAATCACAGCCTTTGGCAGACAGTTTACTTTCTTCCTATGAAGATGGAAAAAAAATCATTAAATGTTAGAAATAATTTTGAAATTCTCTCTCGTAACATCAGATCTCTTTCGAAAACTGTTGACGCTCTTTCATACTACTTGCCATCAAATAACCCTAACCCGTCAGCTATTGATTTGAGTGAAACTTTTCAAACAAATGAAACATAATATTTTAAAATTGATAGCTATCAATCATTCTTTGCATCACCTTTCAAAAACAAAGCATGCGGTGTAGCAATTTTTGTCTAAAATTACTTAGATGTGATTTTGGTCAAATTAGACTTTAATGCGGGTTTTGACCTTATCTTGCTGAACATTAAACATAAAAAAGACATAAATGTCTCGGTTGCTGCCATTTATAATTATCCGAGTATCAAAACAACTGATTTTAATGATTATGAGGACGTTCTTGAAAAATTATCCTTCAAGGGAAAAAACAATTATCTTGTGTGAGATATTAAAATCGACACAAAAATCGAAAACAAATTAACGCGCAGTTCATGCATTCGAACCAATCTTATGGGTTTTCTTCAACTATAAAATTGTTCTGACGAGAATAGGAGACACTCGAGAGAGTTGCATTGACCATGTTATGACTAATCGAGATGAGACCAATGAAAACACATATAGTACCTTGTGATATGATTGATCATTAAAAACTTTCACATGTCACCAGCTTAGTTCTAGTGCCTGACAACAGTAGACCTCCTTTTTGTCGGGCGTAGGGATGTTGGTAAAATTTCGGATGCTGATACAGTCTGCAAATTTCTTTACAAATTGAAGGATCGTTTGGATAAAAATGATTGGAATAGTAACGATATAGATTATTCAGTCTATTCAACAACAACGGAATTGCAATCCAACATAAATAGGTTTTAGCCTACGAGAAAATATAATTCAAAATCAAAGTTTTCCCAAAATCCCTGGTTTGACACCGCGATAAAAAACCTTGTTCGCAAAAGGCAAAAAACGCATAAAACTTTCATGCGTGTTGAACTTAGGGCTGACAATGGACGCTACGAAAGCGTTCGAAACCAGACAAATAAACTGATAGCGGATACTCAAAAAGCGTATCAGCGTGTTAAATTTGATAGATTACTTACAGACTAAAATCAGGAGTTCAAAAATGTTAAGAGACTGCGTGACCTAACATAAAAAACAATGACTGTCAGTTAGATGCAGACAAACAAACGAATACTTTTAAAGCATATGACAGGATATGAACAAAAAAAACAGTAATGTTTTGTTTTCAACCAATTTGCCAGAATTAACAAATTTCATGTTTCTTTTCCCTGTAGAAACTTCAGAAAATTTTCAAATAATTAAATCATTAAATAACTCGACCGCTAAAGGTATTGACGGCATCAACAACATATTTTTGGAACTTTTATCTACCGCTCTATCGGAATATTTATCTGTTTTTTTTTTAAATTGCGTTTTTTTTTTTAAATTGCGAATACTGTTCCGATTCATAAGTCTGGTGAAAAATCAAGGAAATGTAATTTCCGTCCAATATCTCTTTTGACTGCCCTCAGTAAAAAAAAACTAGAGAAAAATAATATCCCTCAGAATAAAATCTTTAATTGATAAAAACAAAATCTTATGCGATTCCGAATTTGGGTTAAGACAAAACAATTCATCGGTCCATGCAGTTCTTAAAATTGACAGAGTCCATCAAGAAGAAAATTGACGAAGGATATAAAGTTTGCAGCGTTTTTTTTTCAGATTTAAGTAAAGCTTTGGATACAAAATAACAACAACAACAACAGAAAGACTTAAATTCCTTCGATGAAGGTATAAAGAAATGTAATAACAAAATCAAATAATTAAATGGTATATAATCTTGACTGTATGGGCATCACGGGAGTTGTTGTCGACCTAATTAATTCTTATCTCAGCAAACGTAAACAATTCGTTGCTATTGGAAAAAAAATTCGCAGACTTCACAATTGATAGGGGTTTCGCAGGGTTAATTTTTGAGTCCTTTCCTTTTTTATTATAAAATTATATGGCAAGTTGTTTTCCGACACTAAATGCATCTGTGGGTTTGTATGCAGATGATAGCTCTGTAAATGTTTATTCAAAACAAGGCCCGAAAATTTAAATTAACAAAGTGCTTTCAAAACGTCCACTTTGTTAAAAGTCAATCGTCTGAGTCTAAATACTACGAAAACTTATTTTGTGAAATTCAATGCAAATCGCTCAGAAAACAAAAATGAAATTGATGCATACACATTAACGGAAGTGGATTGGTTAAAAAATTCAGGTTTACATATAGATAATCGATTGAAACTTCAATACCACGTATCAACTGTGTGCAATAGAATTTCGAAATGGGTAGGATTTCTAAGATTTTCCAAACATTATTTAAATCAATCTCAGAGACTTAATTACTATAATTGCTACATTAAACAGATTACCGAGTATGGAATAATTGTTTATGGTTGCGTTTCTAGAACCTAATTTTTTACTCCAAAAAGCGCGCTACGCAAAATTTACAGTAACCATTTAAGTTTCCAACTGACAGTTTGTTCCAGCAATCGAACTATTTGAACTATAAGCTCGTAAACTGTTACAATACACCGCAGAAACTATCACACCTCGTTATTTTAACCCGCATTGTATCGTCACTCGAAATCGTAAATTGTGTATGCAACCTACTTTTTACTGTAGAACTGAATGCGAATAGAGCTCTTAAAGTTTTTAACAATTTCTTCGGACTAGAAGTTTTGCCGTTAACTAACTTATCCCAATATATCAAAAAAAACGTAAACTCAAAGCATTTATTTGCTGCCTGGTTATTTGATTTATTCAAAAAGCTTCCTTTACTGATAGAAAGAGACAATGAAACTGCCACCAGTGAATACCCGAAACTGTTGCAAAACAAATTGATGATCATCACAATGATGAGCGAGATTTATGTAGTAAACGCAAAAAATATGAACAATTCGAGCACTACGCCGACAAAGCTTAAGTCGACAACCATGAAGCCGTAAAATCATCAGCAAAAAAATGATGAATTTCTTTAATTGTGCATACAATGGTTAGAACTGTAGGTATACCATATACCAGTAGCTACTGGCATTAGTAGCCAGTAGTTGAAAATAAAATGTTAAAAAATGTTGCATGTCAGCAGCGCATATGATTCTAGTGATAGTGCTAAGCAAGTTTTTAACTTAAAAAACTATTTTCGCTACTAGCAAGCGTCAAAAGAGCAAAAGTTTTTTCATACAATCAACCGATGTGTTTGCAATCAATTAGATGTGCTCAAATTCGTTTGTACTTAATTACCTTCTTGTGCAAGTTTGAAACGAATAATTACAAGAAAACGATATATTCAGTAGAGTATAAGAGAAACTCCAAGAAAACGATATATTCAGTAGAGTATAAGAGAAACTCCTCTGGCAGCAACTAAAAACGACCCATATAATTAGAAAATTTGGTTGTTAAAAAATAACCGAGAATAAAGATCGGAAAACGTAAAACATAGCCAACAGATAGTAGGAATAACGTCAGTGAACTCAACCTCCAAAAACATGACAGACAAAGATTTCACATTTTGGAGTTGCAAAGAAAAAACATATCGCCTCAAAGTTATACAGAAAAAAATTACAAAAACATCAACTTTTGAATTAAAAAAAAAGTGTAAAAACAAAAAAGGTCAAACAGCGGAAGGCTTTAGCGACTACTGCTTTGACGGATTGAAAAAAAAAAACACGATAGCTATGTCAATGTCTTCAACTTGTTTATGGAGACGTCATCATTGAACAGAATGAAAAGTTTCGGCATGGAAACCAAGAATTTTGCCTAGAACAGAGAAAAATTTCAAAATTTGCATAAACTTTGTTATGAAAACCTTTGATCAGAGCTTCTAACTAACTAAAAAAAAACTTTTTACTAATTTGACTTAGACTAAAGGTCCACATTTGTAGTATAAAATAATCAATTTAGAACAACATTAGCGTATAGACGGGCGCCGATCGACAGGCTGAAAAGGAAAGGTCAATTACAAAGGACCCTTCTGTCAAAGGACTGTCTATGCACAGGTTGGATCGAACCATACCAACGCGATATCAATGCATCAGCTCACAATTTAAGATTTAGTTCAGTCAGCTTTTATATCAACTAGAAACTAAAAATCTGGAGACTCAATTAAACCTACCCTCTTAGATTATTGCACTAATATAATCATGGACGCTATTTTTATTTTTCAGTATTTTATAGAACCGGATGCATAGAACTGCTCTTCAAAGGAGTGCAACATTTATCATAGTTTCTATAAAATTTACTGTCTCGCAGTATGATTCATTTCGTTTTTCGCTTAGTTTTTGCTACTAGTTTCTGAGTTGTTTAATTGGAGCCTGGCACTGCCCCTTCAGCAAACCCAAAACCTAGTGGAATGCAAGAACCGTAACTCACTTTGAGAATTCGTTGTTGGTCTTCCAGGGTTTACAAGCTTTCACAAAACTTGAAAGCAAGTAATCCTCGAATTAGCAAAAATTCGTCTACCTCTTGAGATTCGAACCTGCGTCCTAGAGATTAAGAGTCTCATACACTAACCACTATGCCACAGAAGCTTAATAGGTACCATTAACCACTCAGTCTTAAATACAGCAGAGCAGATCCTATGCAATTTCCAACGCTACAGTGAAATTTCTAAATAAGTGAACACTTTTATTTGCGAGTTAGGTTAGAAAAAAGAAGGTTCGTAATAACACACTAAGCTGATCGCAAGTGTGAAAAACTTAACCAACAGATAGTTGGAAAAGAGTCAACGAACACACGTAAACAGAAAAAAATAGTGAATGGTTTTTTAAAACTTAAACTTTGAATTTCAACAATTTTTTATGATTGAAAAGTTTTTGAAAATATTTAACCCAATTTGAGAAAGCCGGATCAATTTTTCATTAAGCTGGAAAAATCTTAAAATTAATCTCTACCTTCAAAAGGAAGCCTTCCACTTTTTCATGCCATTTCCGCTTTCGTATTTGGAGAGCGCAGGTTGCCTACTTTTTAGCAAATGAACTTATATTGAACTCAAAAAAGGCGTATACGCATAAGTGCATTCATATATTCATTAATATGTATGAATTAAAATGAACTTTTTTCTGAGAACAAACATAGCCAACAGACAGTTGAAGAAGAGTCAAAAATCTGTAAAATTTGAATTTTCTAAATTCAAGAAAAAAAAGATAGCCTTAAAGCTCTTTGAATTTCTGGAAAAAATTACGATTGAGCCTTTTTTGCAAAATTAACAATGCATCAGCTAACGATTTAAGATTTAGTTCAGTCAGATTTTATATCAACTGGAGACTAAAATCTAGAGACTCAATTGAACCTACCCTCACGTTTTTCCTGAGCTTTACACTTTTGCGGTTCGATAGTGGAATTTGCCCTCCTTTTAACGAAGGAAATGGGCTGAACTTAAAAAAAATCAAATACCAAACCGCCAATAAATTTGAGTCCAAAGTTTTTAAAAATTTTCTGAAAAAAAGACGGGAAAAAAATCATTTATAACAGTCTGGACTACGCTCATCGACTCTTAATCAAACAAAAAAAACCACTAAGACATATAAGAGTCTCTTAAGACCTATCTAATAGTCTCTCGAATGAGAAAAAATAAGCCCCGCCTCTACTACTGGTCAAACAACAAACTTGCGACCCTAACTGGCATTTATAAATATAATTAGAACATAGCCAAATGACAATTGGAAAAGAGTAATGAACGCAAGGAAACAAAAAACTTCAACTTTTGATTTTTAAAGAACAAATATACACCCTTAAAGCTCAAGAGTTTCATGAACAATTTACGATATGTGCTTTTTTGATAGAACTAACCAAATTTGAGAAAACTGGATCAAAAGATGAAATTGCGGTTTCGCTGGGAACTTTGATACTTAATTTCATTTTTCGAAAAAAGAAGTTGATCACGTTTTTCGTGACCTTTACACTTTTGCTGTTCGTAGTGGAAATTCACAAGTCAAATCGCGAAACATCAAAATTGAACGTCAACAAATTCCAGAATTTTTCCTGAAAAAAAAAACAAATTTCAGCAAGAGTACTATAAAAGAGTACTCACTTCGTTCAATATTCTCAAAAACATAGCCAACAAACAAAAAAGTGAGAATGAATTTCTGGTACGAAAATTGATTTTCTAGTGGATTAGTTTTTGTACCTGAAATTCATCCACAATTTTTTGTACCATTTCCGCTTTTTAAATTGGAGAGCGTAAATTGTCTGCCTTTTAGTTTAAAAAAATGATTTAAACTTATAAGAAAATCCCAAATCCAAACCGCGTAAAGTCAAGTTTGAGAGTGAACAACTTTTGGGACTTCTTCCTGACATAAGAATCTTTACTATGTTCATTGACACTTAAACGTACCGTGTTATTATTTTTTCCAACCGCCCCCCTAAAGGAGGTGGGAAGAAACTATGACGTAAGGTGTTCTTGTTTAGCCGATTTTGACTACATCAAAGAAAGCTCGAATGGGGTTAAATGTGCTATCAAACTGGTCGTGACTCGAAATCCAAAAAAGAAGAAACTGAAACTGGACAGAACTTTCAACCCCGATGCACTTTGTTTGAATGTCGGAAAAAAATATAATCTCCACAAGAAAACGGTATTTTAATAAAATTTGATAACTTTTACCTTTGATAATAAATAAGCACAAACCTCGGTTATGTCAACAACATAAAGAGCAGCAAAATTTTTCACTTTCTCCGATATTCTATAAAGAGTCTCGTCCATTTTCATACAAACAGGGTCCCAATCATGTCCAAATCGTATAACCACTACTCTGTCCTCTTCGCCTAATATCGCTTGATCGACCTGCCAGCCATTGTTTAAATGCGGGATCATGTAAGACATTTCGAAGCAATCTGAAAAAAAAAAATTCGTTTTTCTTTTTTTAAGATTTGAATTAATGGCGTGTATGACACTTTTAATGATTCTTGAACATTTTGTAAAGATTAGTTTAGAGTTTTAAAACCTGAAGATGCACTAAAAAAGTGTGAAAACGTTTGTTTGCATTTATAATTTTAACGCGTTCTCAATTTGTAAATTAAGATCATTGAAAGACTATTCAAAGATTACGCCCTATAGGGTATTCGCTAACCTGATAAGTGCATCGAAGAAAAAAATCTTTTTGAACAACTTTTCTTAATAATTTGAAATTCGATCAGTGGTTTTGAAGAATAAGGGTAAGCAAGCAATCATAAGAAAACTACTACTACCACTACTGAAAGAATTAATTCCCTTATAACTTATAAGGCAAGTTTATGATGAAAATACAATTACAAATCAGGATGTGCGAAAACTAAAATTGCAAACCAGCATCCACGAGCATACAATTGCAAACCAGCATCCAAAAATTCCCTGATGCGAACATTAACCAAGAACCAGTTGGTCAGAATGAAGGAAGTTTTCGGCTTGGATTTAAATTTTCACCATTTCGAAGCGATCCATTCATGCCTGTTTTTTCTCGACTACTGAAAATCAGAAGTCAAAAACACAACAGCCGAATTGACAATTGCGGGAAAGTCGAGCTGAATCTCACTCCAGACCAATTGCTGATCGCAATTGGCATATCTAAATATTTTCCAGAGAGTAGAGTTATCTACTTATGTGAGCGTTCTATTTAAATTCTACAGTGGTGGTTATTTTGTTAGTGGTCTTTAGGCAGTAGCACAATCTTGAGTTCAATGTCAAGTTAAACCGTTAAATTCCTCCCACCGATTGAAAAAGAAAAGCACGAGAGATAAGGTCTCGGTCACTTAAGCCAAGAGCATTAGAGCCTATCACTCTTGATCTTAAATGTGACATTAGCGAGCGACTAATATCGTGTCGACAACGTTGATACAACTTAAAAGCTATCGGCCAAACCGCGCAAATTATTTTAGTTACATGCAAAAATATGTGCCATTCTGCCAGATGACACAGCATAACCTTCCCGCGACAGAAAAAAAAGTGACTAAAGGCCTTATGAACAAAAAAGTGTTGCGACGGAGGGTCAGAATGTTCTAGAATTTTTATTTTTAAAATTTCGATTGGAAGAAGAACATTTCTGAGAAATAGAAAAAAGACGGCCATTTTGAATAAAAAAGACGAAAATCAGAACCACGATATAGATTGTGAAGAACAGTTGTATCAGAGACAGAAAAACACGGAGCCTCTTATCGTGGCAAGAACACACGATAAGGACCTTAGCGACAGATATTTGTGGAGACGGAGGCTTCAGTGGGGGGAAGAGAAATACCACGGAACCCTCCCGGGACACGAAATATAGGAGATAAGAGTGTTATCTCAAGAAAATCACGGGAGCGGAGGCTTGGTCCCCCAGAGACTGTTATATGTGAGGGGACTGTGAAAACTGACTATAACAGCTGCTGTAATGTCCTAGATCTTAATTAACACCGTTATTATTTAATATTTCAGAGCATGAGTAGATAGAAAAAGGAAAGGGTCAATCCATCTCCAATGGATTTAATATAAAACTGTCACACAAAAACATAATAAAATAGGTTGTTCGAGCCGTGTTTTTAATGACAATCACGTAGTCTGAGAATCCGAGACTCAGCTATGTGGTTGTGTTCGCATGCAAACGAAAGCTGGTCAAAAGTCGTTTGACTGATGGCCTAAAAATGGTAACTTTTTACTTTGCCCTAAACAGACCAGAAAATCAACAGGCAAGGTCGAGACGGTGAAAAACGAGTAGAATTAAGGTAGCTGACGCCTGCCAGTCGTTGATAGGTACTTTTTCTACGCTCCGTCGCTGTGTGATATTTGGGCGAATGTTACATAGACGTTTTTATGGCGCTCCTGGGTGGGCCTGTTAAAGGCATGAAACCATCATGATCAGCAAGCGTTTCAGCGACGAACCCTCCGCTCCGGGCGTATGCCCGAGTTAGAGGCCTTAATGACCGTTATTGTACTAGGGGGAAGGTGCGTACCCTCCGTCTAGTGCAATTTAGCTTTTTAACTTAGTTAACACCGAAAATTCCGGGGGCCGGAGGGTTAGGTGGGAAATCTAGAGCCCGCTTGTCCTGAGGTCCCAGGACCAAAAACAACTAAAGAGAAAGCGTAAAACCAAACAAAAATAGTGTATAACCAAGAAAAAGCCAAAAACATATTTATATAAAGACAAAAAAGTACAAAAAACAGTAAAAAAATCCAAAAAAGACCAAAAAAAGTGAAAAACGTAAAGTGACAGTTTATTTGTTATTTCCGGACGAGATGTGATCTGACCTTCCTATTTGTTGTTGTTTCAGGTTGATTCATATCGTTTCTGATAGAAAGATTGTGTGTTTTGGTGAAGGGTTGGATACCCTCCCTCGAGTGTAATTTGAGTGTTTAAGCACGTTAATGGTGATTTTGCCGGTGGCCGGAGGGTAGAGTGGCAAGCTGATCAACGTGTTCCACACTCAACAGGGACATCAAGGACAACATCCGCAACGACTGTTGGGTATCGTTGAAGCAATTTTAGTATCGTTCGGGTACTATTTCTTTAAAACTTAAGTGGTGGGGGGCACGATTGGCGCGGTCCGATTGTACCCTCCATCGATTACAAATTTCCGAGTTAAGGGTCTTAATTCGGATATTTTGGTGCAAAGGAGGGTATAGTACTATTCATTAACGACTATTAATAGATTATTATCCTTATTATATATTACTTATCTCCTATTTAGACCCAAGAAACACCCATTTTTTGTCGAAAATTACCAATTTTCGACCAAACCGTAGACCCCCAAATTTTCGGATATCCGAGCTTTTCCGATAGGCAAAAAGCTTTTATATAGAGAGTAGCTACGTAGTTCGATCCCCTTCACTAAGGAAACCGCGTGAGCAAAGACTCAGTAGAAGTTAGGAAAACGAAAATTTTTCGATCAAAATTTTGATAATTTTCTGTATTTTGTCAATCTGTTTTGGGGATCGAGTTTTTGAGTTTTTAGAGTTAGAGCAATACAATTTTTTGCGTTAGGAGCGTGCTAGCATAACGTGCTCGGTTACTAGAGAAATTTTTGGGTAACCCTCCGAGTAGCTCCGTGGATAGAGCTAACGACTTAAGGTTTGGAAAAGGAAGGAATCGGAGGGTCCAAATTTGATAGTTTTTGGCCAAAATTTTGTTTCTAAACCAATTTTGGTCCGGTTTTTTGCATTATTCCAGTGCCGTACAGGGCTACTACGCTCATTTCAAGTATTTTTAGGCACTTTCGACCGGAATTGCGAAAAAAGTCTTTCAGATCCTATACAGGTGGTGAAAAAGGCCATTTTGACGAACGCGTTTTTGGCGATTTCTCAAAGACTAGTTATCCGATCGGGATAATTTTGGTACCATAAGTCGACGTTTTTGACCACTTTTCCGAATCGCAACCGTTTTTGGGTTGATTATTTCGGAAAAGAAAAAGTTTTAGAATTTGTTGGTTCGGAGGGTCCAAATCACGGGCAACCCTCCGAGCGGCAGAAAATTTTATCAAAACATCCTTTTATTCAACTGGAAAGGTTGACCGTGTCAGCCAACCTAGTTTTAAGTCAGGTAGACCGCTTTCAGAGGCTTTACTGCGGTGATATAACCCTTTTTCTTGATTTTGGGGGAACCCTCCGAGGTGACCCTCCGGAGTCAGCTAAACCCTTTAGCAACCCTCCTTAGTGGAAATATTCCACGAGATCACCCTAAGAAGTTAAAACAGCTCCCCTTAGAGCTCCTAGCTTGTTTTGACGCTTTTTGAAGCGAGGGGGAGAACCTTCTAAGCGAGATCGAAAAATTTGAAAATTTTGGAGGTACCCTCCGAAGTAACCCTCCGGAGCATATTAAGCATCTTATTGACCCTCCTTAGTAAATTTGGGGGGACCCTCCGAGGTAACTTGGGTGATTAGGGTACCCTCCGAAGTAACTTGGGTGATCAAGGTACCCTCCGAGGTAACCCTCCGGAGCGTCTTAAACCTTCCAACGATCTTCCTTGTTAGAGACTTGAGTAAACTTTCTGTGGCTATTTGGGCAACGGAAAATATCCATTGAATTAGGATCATATTAGGATATTAGGCGTGCTTATCAGGATCATAAGAACCCATTTTGACCCGGAAATTCGTGATCAACTTTGGATTCTACATTGGGTGTATTAGAAGTACCCGAACAAAATTTTTTTTGATTGTGATTTTGGTTGTGTGGTTGCCTTGAGCTACTTAATAGGAAAGTTCGGGCAATCCGGGAACAAATAAAGGAAGACCTCGGTGGGTGTATTAGGCAAATACACACCCACTTGAGAAGAAAAATTGTTCCCTACTCTCGTGCACTTGGAGCAGTCCGAGTGTGGGAGAGCTTTTTCATAGACTTTAGAAATTTTCGATCAGAGGTTGCCTTGAGCTACTTAGTAGGACAGCTCGGGCAATCGCAGGACACCTAAAAGAAGACCTCGGTGGGTGTATTAGGCAGACACACACCCACTTGAGAAGACTGTGTCCTGGGCTTCGTTCTTTCGGATCGTTCCGATTGGGGGAAGTCTTTTTCTTTAAGACTAAGTTTTATTTATCTATTTCTGAATCATCACTGCTTTTTATCAAAGATTGTTTAATTTTAACAAAGCAGTGACTTGATAAATTGTGTGGCGATAAATTGATACTGACAAAAGGTCGCTGTCACCTGTAGGATATTCTTATCTGATTATCGATTCTGTTTTGTGTGTCGATTATATCTTGTGGAAACTTAGTGATACTGTTATACTATACAACCGGGTTGAGTTGGCATTATATCAATACTGGGTAGACCCTGTGTGTAACTTTAGCTGAGTCACTAATTTAGTCGTGAGAGATCTAAGAGACATTTTGATACTGACGGAATCGAGTAGGCAGCGTTAAGTGATTTAACTAAACCTTGTTTGT